TACGCTGAAAGGTATCCGGACGCTCGTCATCCTACTAGGAGGAATATTAAACTTCTAACGATAAGAGCTCAAGGAGGTAACTTAAGAAGGAAGAGGCGACAGACGGGCCCAAGAGAGCATATTGCGCTTGGGGTTCGTGCTGTAATTGCCGAGGATCCTCATATTTCGACGCGACAAATTCAGCGAATGCATGGAGTACCCAGATCAACAGTTTCCCGTGTATTGCGTCATTTTAGATTTCATCCATATCACTTGCACCTTACACATGCCATTGAGCCTGGTGATCCTGCCAGGCGACTTAGATTCTGTCAATGGGCGGAAATACGAATGCGCATAGATCCATTTTTCTTTGATCGGACTCTCTTTACAGACGAGGCAAAGTTCGACAATATAGGAGGAGTTAATCTTCATAACGCGCATTATTATGCAGAAGAAAATCAACATTGGCAGCGAGATCACCGTACACAAAGACGGTGGTCAATTAATGTTTGGACGGGCATAGTTGGGGAATACGTTGTGGGTCCAATTTTTTGTGACCGTAATTTAAACGGCGAGCTTTATTTAGATATTCTCGAGAACCAAATTCTACCTCTTCTAGAAAACATTCCGCTAGAAATAAGGCGAGACATGTGGTTCCAGCAAGATGGTGCTCCCGCTCATCGTCGACTACTTGTCAGGAGATTTCTGAACGCGACATACCTAAATAGTTGGATTGGAATTGGTAGTCCAATCTGTGAATTCCCTGCGCGATCGCCAGATTTGACCCTATTGGACTTCTTTCTGTGGGGGGCCGTCAAGCTGAGAGTTTACGCGGAAGCCCCGACGACGGCACAAAATATGATGGAGAGAATTGTTGCAGCATTCCAGGCGTTAACCCCACAAACATTAATAGATGTCCAAAGAAGTTTTCGGCAGAGAATACAAATGTGCATTCAACAAAATGGGCAATTGATAGAGCACTTGAGACATTGAAATTTCCGTGACTAGCTGAACGAAGGAGTCTTGCCTTAAGTGGTTGGACGTGAAGGTCTTGCCTTAAGTGATCCAAAGGATACCTCTGTCTTTGTTTGAAGCTAGTAACATTCATCTAAAACATCTTATTTCTAGAACAAATTCTCTTTTCAGTTAAAGGGAGAGCTACCTACCTATTGATGATCAAAAAATGATTCATACAAAAAGTGTTTCTCTTTTTTAGTAGAATCCGAATCTGCCATAAAATATGTACATTTCATTTGAAAATTTGGTCTTGACTTTCAAATGACCTTAAAGGTCATGTTCAAGATCGCAGCTGAAATAGCCAAAAGATGCCCCCCTTCGAACCCAACAAATTTTATTTGAAACATTTTTTTCTCAGAGCAAATTATTAACCTGTTTTAGGGGGTGGTAAATTAAAATGGGACACCCTGTATAAAAAAAATCTTAATAATTAATTTTACACAAATGAATCGGGAAAATAACAGCATGATAGGAAAATTTCGCAGCTTCTTGAAACCTCCCACACACTTTTTGATTAGAAACATAGTTACCGCGCAATCATCGAAAATATCTCAAAGTTTTTAAATTATAAATTAGAAAATGAGATAAATAGTCGAAAAACAGTTACTTGAATGAATTTTAGCAAATCAGTTATATAGTTCACAATTAAATAATGCCCCTTTTTCATTCCATATTATTTAAACAACGAATTGAGTTAATTATTTAAGTTACTAATTGTAAACATGTAGGATCAAAGATTTTCGCATAAAATATGTTAAATATTAAGAAACTTGCGTTATTATTAAGAATTAATTGTAACAATTTTACGTAATAAATAAATTAATAATTATAAGAAAATCTGTAATGAAAATGGTACTTGAAGAGTCATCTAGCGAGATAGGGCCCAAACTCTTGAACGCGCGCCCCCAATTCTCACCACGCCCCTGAACCAATTAGGGCCCGAAATCCGAAAGAGAAAAGGAAGGAAAATCTCGGTCAGCCAATTAGAATTTACTGGCATTTCCACTCTTCCCAAATTTTGAGGGACTGAAAGAGGGATTTTCCTCCCAACCACCCCCAGGGTTTAAAAGGGCGTGCGCAAGCGAAAATCGTCCACTCTCTCGCTCCTCGCAAGCCTCTCAAGCTTTACTACATTTAACCAAGTGTCAGATTCGGATTCTCCAAGTACCAGCCAAGTCTATTGAATAAAACAAAAGTAAGTTTCAACAAAATTTTTATTTTTATCATTCCTCTTCCTTTCTAGTAAAATAGTTAGATCGGAATTCGAAAAAACAAGTCTTAGAAGAGTATTTCAACAAGGATTGGGATACTTTTCTAGAAGACAGTCGCGCCGTTAAAGAAAACTTGAATTCTTTTATGTGATAATTCCGGAAAGGTTTGGGATTTTCACATCCAAGTCCCGATTCCATTGGACCCTGGTGTTTGATGGAAGGCTTACAGTCAAGTTTTATTTTTCACTCTTTTTACGCGAAACGCGAAATAGAAAAGCTCTGATTCTCCAATTGCTCGTCCCGGTTTAAGCGTACGCACGCAAACCAAATAGAGCACCTGAGATTACGTCCGCCTCAGACGTACCTGAGATAGTGACCCGGACGTCACAATCTGATCACATTTTTTTTCTAACCTTAAAAAATTGATAAAATCGTTAAAAATGTACTAAAATCTACGAGAAAAAGGGCAGAATTCTTTATCTTTCGTATCCATCCCTTTTTTTATATTGAGAGAAATCCGATATAATAAAGTCCACCTCTACAATATAGGAAATACGACACTGCTATGTCTACCCTCATGAAAGTGGATCACAAGTTTAACCCTGTCACAGACCGAAGAGTGACAGCTATGAGATAGAAATATCGACTTCATTGTATCGAGTCCCGACCATCGTTAAATTAGAATCTGTGGTTAGATTTTCTAAATTTAAGATGGCGGACCTAATATGGTGGAAGATATTTCGGAAATTGTAATATTTTCAAAAACAAAAAATACTGTGATATTTTACGTAACGAACGAAATAAATCTATTCTTGGTATTTCTTTGATTGGGTGTATCGTTTTTGAGTAAAAAATGGCAAAGGTTTGAAAAATAACTCTTAAATAATTTCTTCAATATTTTCAAATTTTAATTTATAAAATAATTTATTCATAATTTCTATTTCATCGAAAAGGTAAGAAATTTTTAATGTTCATTGTTCATTCCATCTACAGTCTATTCACGAAAGTAATTAATGAAATGTAGTATTCACGATGAGAGTCATTCCTTTAAACGTAATTAATTTATATTAAGTATACTTTCAAATATTGGTTACTGTTAAGTCGTAACAATTTGTAAGGGCTAGAGCCCCTCGATCTCACGCGGTAGCAGCACTTGACGGTGCTGGCGCGGCATGTCGTGGAGAGAACGCTCTCCTCTTCCGGCCTTGCCGGCAGTCGTCGACGACATCGTCTAGCGTGCGGAGCTCCCTCGCGAACCTCCTGTTCAACGGAACAGCGTGTGTATTCTACACATCATCGTATCGTTCTCTCATCGTTTGTTACACCATCAGTGTATCTCATTATTGTAAAAAATTGTGTGCGTGTATGCGAGTGTGCGAATGTGCGAATGTGCGAATCTGTGAATGCACTTCAGAACCTTTTAGCCGGTTGTGTGTTGTGCAACACGTGAGTACATGCGTGACCGCGACCATTGTTCTACGCGGCGTCAGTTATTTCTTTCTTATATTCAATCAAATTTCCTTCACATAAAACTTCTCTGTGTAAAGTGTTAATTAATAAAAGGGTTTTTGTGCCGTTATAGGTTTTTCCCTTAAAGAAGTGTTTTAATTTATCTCATCTCCTAACCGGTTTAATGTTTCAACAAGTTCAAACCATAATTAGAATTTATAAAAATCAATGAACAATCCAAACAACAAAAACTAGACCTCTTTGTGTCGCCCACAAAAGGTCACATTCTTTACATTAGTGCCTCCTGTGAGGTCGGAATTCACGACCTCTCTCTCACTCTCTCTCTCTCTCTCTCTCTCTCTCTTTATTGTTTTCTTTCAAAACAAATTCTCGATATTTGACGCCGCGGCAGTGCAGTGCGCGGAATGTGTGTGAGTAAGACAGAGAGATATATAGTTGCGCAACCTGTCGCAACACGACACTAGCCTTTGTCTCCAGCGCTTCGTCACGCAGTTTCGCGCCAAAAAGCCAACGGCAAGAAGAACAGAGCGGGAGCGTAACACGAGAGCCAACACGTGGCGACACTTCTCATCGCCGATCTTTGCCATTGCCATCGCTTCCGACCAAGGGAACCAGCCGGCGGCCATCAACGTCGTTTCGACGTAAAACATATAAGATAAGTTTTGATTCTCAATATAGAAAACATTCATATTGATTGGATAGAAACGCCCACGTTGATTTATATCTGATTATGAAAACAATTCGCGCATTAAACATTCGAGTCTCTTTTCTTATGCAATTTCTATTTGAATTTCGTAGAATTCACTGATCATTGCTACGTTTAGCGTTTATTTAATTTGAAATTCTTTGTGTTTAAAAATTCGTTTAATTCACAAACCCAGTATATTATCAGTAACTTCCTCAATTCCAATTATAAATGCAAGACGCAATGGACTATTGTTTTTGTGTGTTAAGGCCGTAGCCGAAGCACTTCTGTTCAACAATTAAAACACTATCGTAGGAGCTTTTTTAAGATTTTATTGACTTCTTTTAACTTAAAATTAGTAAACTTGGTGTTTTATTTATTAAAATTTCTCGTGATTAAAATCATTGCGCTAGTACTTATTTAATTAAAGACTTGTGAATTCCCATTTAATTCAATTATAATTTTATTTACATTGACGTTGTTCAGTTTCGGTTTGTTCAAACTTTTACTGTTCCTTGCGTAAAGCAAGCTCGATTGATAACTTTCGTAAATTGCGTATTTCTTCAAATTGACTATTCATTGGTAGTCGAATTACTCAAAACTATTTAGCAACTCATTCGACCAATTGAAATATCACAATGGACGAAATTGAAAAGCGCATCGCGCGCATTGTGCAGAAAAGCACCGCATTAAAAAAGGCAATGCAGTCTTTGTCGACGTATCTAGAAACCGAGGATCGAGATGAAACCAACGCGACCTTGCGTTCTAAACACATTGAGGGGCTGTTTAACGAATACGTGATGAATCACGAAGAGTTAATTTCCTTACAAAGCGATCACCCTCGAATCACCGCGTTCGATGATTTACAGGCGACCTATTTTGATTTAGCAAGTAAGGTCAGAAAATTGAGGACCCCTTCGAGACCTTTTGCGAATTCAACTATGTTGAACAACACTAACGTCACATTTACCGAAAGGTACGATATGCCAAAACTTCCGCCTATTCCCATACCGGAGTTCGACGGTCATCACCGAAATTGGACGGCGTGGAAGAACAATTTTCAATCCCTCATTCATGATCGCACGGAGTTCCCTGGTTTCGTGAAGCACCAACGCTTGAAGGATGCGGTTAAGGGACTCGCGGCTAAAGTGATAGGAGAATTCAACCCCAGTGATGAGAATTATCCATTAGCATGGGAAGCCCTTTATAGTGCTTACGACCAACGGCGTGTTGTCACCAACCAGCATTTAGATAAGCTTCTCAAATTGCATAAGATTACCGAGGCTAGTGCTGACGCTCTGGCGGACCTTATGTACAAAGTCCGACAAAACGTCAAGTTGTTGAAAGGAATGGACGTAGATATTCCCGACGCGATAGTCGTGCGGCTGCTCGAACATAGTCTACCAAAAAGCGTTGAATCGCGATGGATGGATCGTTTATCCAGCGACAAAATGCCAACACTCAACGAGCTTTATGAATTCATTCAAAATACTATTTTCAAGCTTCGACAGATGGACGATCGATCCAACAATGAACGTGTTAATAAGAAGCGGCTCGCAGATTCCAAATCGTGGCCCCCCGCTAAGAGTCAAAGGATGGAGGCTCGAACCCTCGCGACTACAGCGAACACGTCGACTAAGCATGCATAAAGTGCGGTCGATCGCATAGGTTGTATATGTGTACAGAGTTTGAGGCCCTTCAACCTCAAGCAAAATGGGATTTAGTAAAAACACATGAACTGTGCCAAAATTGCCTTTATGCGCACGCCTCACCTTGCACTAGCACTAATCGGTGCAAAAAGTGCCAGAAAAATCACCACACTATACTACACACTAACAAGAAACCAAAGGGTTCTAAAGTCGAGAAAACTCAGTCTACAAAGGATTCTGGTCAGGGTAGCGGCTATTCTCGGTATTCCCAACTCATGACGACCGCTGTCGTAAAATTCTCTTCAAGACGTAGTCCGGATCTCACGGCACGCGCCCTTCTAGATTCTTGCTCTAACGTTAATTTGATGACCATTGAATTTGCTAGGAAGTTACAGTTGACGAGGAACGAATGTTCCATTAGCATCGGGGCAGTCGATGACTCTAATACCGTTTCTAACAAATTTGTAAAGGCTACTTTCTACTCAAACTACAATAATATTAAATACCAACTCAACTTCTTACTAGTACCCAAAATTCTCGATCGTGTCCCTAACGAATTGTTCCCTCGTGAACGGTTTGATATTCCCAGGAACATAGGGATTATAGAAATATAATTATATAGATTATATACTATTATTATTAATTAGCTGATCCTAATTTCCATTGTCCCAAACCCGTTGACGTCCTATTGGCATCGGGGACCACTGTATCGTCACTCGCGATAGGGCAAATAAGTTTAGGAGACCCTACGTCACGAATCACTCTCCAGAAAACATCCTTCGGCTGGGTAGTTGCCGGAGGTTCGGTCCCTCAGAGAACACCCAACAAACTTTCATGTAACGCCGTAAAACCCGATACCCTTTTCGAAAGCTTCATCGCCGTCGAAGATCTTGAACCGCGACCGAGTAGGATCGAAGACAACAATCTTTGCGAACAACATTACGTTCAAAATACCACTCGCGACGAATCAGGTCGTTACACCGTTAGGTTACCATTCAAAGGCGAAAAATTTGAACTCGGCCACTCAAAGGCTCTGGCGATGAAACGTTTCAAAGCTTTGGAGCGAAAGTTCGAAGCAAATCCAGCCCTGAAGGAAGCTTACGAGAAGGAGATCAACAACTACCTGGAGCAAGGTCATATGACGCTGTGTGAGGACGACGATGAAAGCGGTTACTACCTCCCTCACCACGCGGTCATCAAGGAGTCAAGCGAAACGACCAAATGCAGAGTAGCTTTCTATGCGTCCGCAAAAACTTCGACCGGCATTTCACTGAACGATGTTCTGCTCGCAGGTCCGACTCTTCAGGACACTCTCGTCGAGCAAATCATGCGTTTCCGATCGCACCCCTTCGTTCTTACTGCGGACATTGAAAAAATGTATCAGCAGGTATGGGTTCACCCCGACGACAGGAAGTATCAGAAAATACTCTGGTACTACGACGGTCGAATAATGGTTTTCCACATCAATACTGTAGTTTTCGGAATCTAAAGCGCCCCCTTTCTGGCTATCCGCACGTTGCACCAGTTGGCCAGGGACGAGGAAGCTGAATTTACACAAGTTTCGCTGCTTCTGCGTCGCGACTTCTACGTCGACGATTTTCTTTCAGGAGCTGAGACATTGGAGGAACTGCTGGCGATTCGTGACGAGATGATCCAACTTCTGAGTCACGGAGGTTTTATCATTCGAAAATGGTCTTCGAACCATCTGTCCGCTCTGGACAACATCGATAAGAAAATCTTCGAACTGGATTGCGGGATTCAACAGTCTGCAGTCAAAAGGAAGTTCGGGATAGTTTGGGATTCCGAACGCAATGTATTGACGTACTCGTGCGATCCGGAGAATACGGAGTTGGTTTTCACGAAAAGAAAATTGCTTTCGGAAGTTGCACGAATCTTCGATCCTCTAGGATTACTAGGCCCCTTAATTTTATATGCGAAGAGCCTTTTATTAGATTGCTGGCGGTCAAAATTGACCTGGGACGAGTCGTTACCGCAGGAGATCCACACGAAATGGGTCAAGTTTGCCGATCAACTCCCCGAAGTGCAGAAGTTTGCAGAACCGAGGTATCTACGAGGGGAAACTCCAACGTCAACCGAAATACACGGCTTCTGTGACGCTTCGTCGCGAGGGTTTGGTGCTGGTGTGTACATCCGAACAGTCGACGCGGTAGGACGCGCTACTGTTAGGTTGCTCGTTAGCAACTCCAAGATAGCATCCACCGATCATCAAACAATACCGCGATTGGAATTGGCCGGCGCGGTCCTTCTGAAAAGGTTACACGTCAAGGCTAGGGAACAGCTGGTTTTCTCCGTTGATCGAGTCATTTTCTGGACGGATTCTACGATCGTTTTATCTGGTTGAAAAAGGCGCTTCATCTGTTGAGGACTTATGAGAAAAATAGAGTAGCTGATATTCAAGAATTAGATGATGAGGTCGAATGGAGGCATGTCCGGTCGGCGGATAATCCAGCTGATGCCCTATCTCGAGGACAGTTGCCGGGTGAATTAGTGAGAAACTCCCTCTGGAACTGCGGTCCTCATTGGCTGAGGTTATCGGAAGATAAATGGCCTGAGTCACCGATTCCATTTGCGAGTCACACGTTAGCAACGACCTTTTCGACTAGCTCCTTTTACCTCCGATACTCGAATTACGGTTGTTTAATCAGATCGATAGCGTACATGCTCCGTTTAACGAGCAAGAAATCACCTCAAGGTGAGATCCCAGATACGAGTAAATCACGAAGAGGGATTCGTTATCTAACTCAAGCTGAAGTTGATGAGGCTGAACTTCGTCTCTTACTTCTGATCCAGAGGGAATGCTTTGCCCCCGAGATCAAGGCTTTAAAATCCGACCAAAACCCACCTAATGAGAAATATCGTGGTGAGTTTAGGAACCGAACTCAATTCGATCAAATCAGTCCATTTCTTGACAGCGATGGATTGATAAGAGTAGGCGGTCGTTTAAAACATTCCGACCTCACGTTCAACCAGCGACATTCAATATTACTTCCACGATCTCACCACATCTTCGACCTGATCATTCGTGACTCTCATCGTCGAACACTTCATGGCGGAATCCAGATAAATCTTTACGCCATAAGAGAACGATTTTGGATTCTCGGCGGCAAGGACCAAATTAGGCATGTCATACAGCCATGTGTACCGTGCATTCGTCAGAAACCAAAATTCCCTCACGCTAAGATGGCGGATTTACCAAAATGCAGGATCGTTGCTCCCAAATATCCGTTCGAAGAAACCGGTGTAGATCTTTTCGGGCCTATTTGGATCAAAGAAAGGAAGGAGCGCAATCGTAGCTTCATTAAGGGATACGGTTGTGTTTTCGTGTGCATGGCTTCCAAGGCCGTCCATATCGAGTTAGCGTCAGATCTGTCCACTGAAGCCTTTCTCGCTTGTCTCCGTAGGTTTATTAATACGCACGGGATTCCGCGAATAATGAGGTCCGATAACGGTACCAATTTCGTCGGTGCGAACAATGAACTTAAGAAACTCTATGAGTTACATGGGACTTCCACGTTCCAAGAAGCTGTTAGTGTTTGTGTGTTGTCACACTTTTCCGATTTGAGGGAGGCACAGCGTAATCAAACATTACCACCCTTCTCACTGGGCACCAACAGGTTGGCATAGCCCACTGTCTTTCACTCCTTCGCTTTCAAACATTTTTGGAGATCTGGAAGTCAAGTTTGCTGCGACATCCCTGACGCACACAGCGAGTCGGAACCTTTTTCATCTAAGGCGGCGACCTCCTCGAGAGGAGTACCGATCTTTTCAAGGTTCAACGCTCAAGGAGAGCGGAACTAAAGGCTTGACCCTCGGTTTGGGCGCGACGGAACTCTAGTTGCCCCAATGTCTACTGCGTCAGAAGAACACAGCATACAAATCTTATGAGATTTGCTTGACCTGGTACCACTACCCCGCAGAGGCCAACCCAAATTGGGATGTCAGAAGAGAAACTCAGCTAGGACAGCCGGAGGAAATTCCTAAGACGATCAACCAACTAAGCCTCCTCTCCTGGGCTCGCGTTCGAAAAACATCCCACCCTGCGTACCTGTATTAAGGGATTTTTCCCACGACTCACAGGTCCATCGCTTCGACGTACTAAGGCACATCTTCCCATTGCGTTTCGGTCATCCCCGCTCACGCTGGTGAGTATCCGTCATTCGAAAGGTTGTTTTTACGCCGTTTGTCCCAAAGTCGGATCTCGCTTTCTAAAGAATGGTTTTATGACTTGGCTGATACTGATATTTGCTCTTTCGATTTGGTTTTTGAATTGTTATGTCAGGGCGGGGTCTCGTCTAGCCGACAAGGCGATTCCCCAGGCAGTTTTCAGTATTCTTGCCGGTCATGCTACGCATTCGGTTCAAAACTCCGTCGTTGGGTCAAATGGGGCAAATTACGTTCGAGTATTCAAGCTTCAGAATTTAGTTCTGAAGTTGATGTTCAAAAATTATCGTTCAAAAATTTCAAGCTTTATAAGCTGCGTTCAAAATTTCAAAAATTAGGTTATTGTGGGAGTTTTTGTCCTTTGGTCAGGGACCTTGTAAGAGGCGGCGTCTTTCTACCATAGTTCGTGACTATTTTTCTGCGCTTTCTCTTTGTTATAGGTGCTCCCTCTCTGGGCTCTATGACTTTTCTAGCAAAGTCTTCAAAGGCTTTGTAGATTTTCCTGCTAGATACTAGGGCCGTTTCCGGGCAAGGCCATGTATGACCCTCCTTTTCGACAGCCTCTATTAATGGCTTCCTTAGTTCCCTTATATCTTCGCAGTTAAAGAGAATATGACTTTCGCTTTCTATTTCCCCACAGCTACACAGTTGGTCTTCGCATAGTCCTCTTTTGTGGAGGTATGACTTCAAAGCGCCATGTCCAGTCATAAACTGGACTGTGTAGTGATTGGGATTTAGCCACCTCTTCTTTAATCTGTCCTCGATTACTGGGAAGTAGCAGTACGTTCTCCTGCCATTTGTGGCTGACTGCCATCTCT